AAAAAAAATTATAAATCAAACTATCTTGTATCTTTACTCACCCTTTCACTTGCAGTTCCAGCAGTAGACCATGCCGATGAGTCCAGCAGATTTAGTACTGCTGTAGTCGATGCCTCATTCTCCCAGCCGTCCATTTCGCTTGCCTCCTTCTTCACGTTTTCAAAATTTGCTGATGTTGACTCTTCCAAAAGAAGAGCTGCCGAAATTGTCCCGGATTCGCTGCCTCTACCTTCCAAAGTGCTCGATGCTGCAGTTTCAGTAGTAGCTTTCTTGGCACTGGTGCTATTATACAACGTAGATAATTACAGCCATCTTCAAAACAATGAGATCATTTACCTCGCCGCGTTTGACCCGCTGGTAGTGACGGTAACCCCGTTCGGCTGTTGAACTTTTTCTGCATCGGCGCTGGTGCTTGGAAACAGTTTGCTCAGATCTGTCGCTACCGAAAACTTCATGGACTTTATAGTCTAAAGATAAGCAAATATGGCCAACACATAATAACATACGCTGATCTATGACAAGTAAACGCTAATTTGCAGATTAACTCAAAAAGCTACTCACTGCATATTCTATCAACTCCATGAGACTAGAATGGTTTTCAGCCTCCAACAGAACAAATGTGACCATTGCTCATTTGAGTAGAGATCAAGCTAAAGAAAAACAGTGAAGGACAGAGGAAGGCAACTGTGTTGTACACATATTGTACAAATGATGTCATAGACTAGTTGTATAAATGTGTACTGCGTTGTACACATTTATAGGGGTGGCCTCAGTATATACGTCCGGGAAGGGGCGACAAAAATTTTTTTGAATGGACGCAGGCGGCGTTGTCACGCACTCCAAGTAATTTTTTTGGGGCTTCCGAAAATTTTTGCAGTCTATATTCCGTCATAAGAAAGGACGGGCGGCAGCCAGGCCACCGAAGATTTTTTTTTACAAAGCTGATTGAATTTTTTATTTTCACATTTTGAAATTATTCATAGTCGAACGTAATGTGGGGTGGAGATGTAAACTGGCGGGTTTACTTCCCAAAGTTCTATGCTTTATAAAAAGAATTGGCTTATTGCGTTTCATGACACAATTTATGACCTTTGACGGGAAATTACTTTAAAGAATGAATAAAGCACGGTAGAACTTTGGCTAAACATACATTCGGACAGAGTTCTGACGTACTTTTGGGGTTCCACTGCAGACTTTGCAAAAGTATTAGGTGCAAACCCCTTTGTTATGTAGCCAAACAACCTCAAAAGGGTAGGGGAACGAAGGCCGCAGAGCTGCCTCCGCGGACTACTGGTCCTGCAACGACATGCAGCAAC